TACCCACCATCTACCCTGAGATGCACTTGCAGAGTTTAATTGAAGGCTTGGATTAGGGATGGCCTGAAACTATATCTTAATTACCTTGATTAAGCCTGGGAAAACCATTAATCCACACTTAATACTATGTGGATTAATGGCATCCCCGGGTTTAATCAGGGTAATACACCCACAATTTGGGGCCATCTGCCAATCTGCAGGGAGGGACAGGACTGCTGGGGCCCCTTGGCCAAGCAGAGGCATGGGGGTGTCTGCTGTGATCAGCCAGAGAAAATGGTGACTGGCCCTGCAGTCTCCTTGTGAAATCAGCTGCCTGCCTCCTTGAGGTGGGTAGACCCCTACATATGGTATACAGGTTTGTGTTAGTGCAAGTCACTCCATTCTAAGATAAAGTGACCCCTCAGAAAATGAGGAGTAGCTATGTATAGTTGTACTAATAATGTGTCTGTTCCATTTCTCAGTTTATTTTCAGGTTGCCCTTTGCAAAATGACTTCTTTGCCCCTTAGTGCCCAGGCTTCTAACAGTGCTGACTTGTGGATAGTTTGCTTGGAAAAGGTGGTTGTGTGTCTGCTCCTTCCAATCAAATAAATTTATTAGTGTAAAATGCCGAGTAAATTATTCCAAGGTAATCATTAATCAGTCTGTATAGTAGGAAACCAGCACAACAATCCAGTTCACTCAGCTGTATACAATGTTAATCATTTTTCAGAATTGTTCTGAAGAAGACATTTACTTCAAATGTGCAATAATTTTAATGTGACACTTTTCTTCTTCCTTTCAGTATCACTATTCCTGAGAAGCTAGAATATTTCATTAATAAATATGCAGAACATTCACATGATAAATGGTCCATGGAAAAGGTAATATTTCTATTAATATTCTATCAAGGCCAATTCAAGAATTTATAAATCAGTCTGTTTAATGTTCTGGAGGTTGTACTGTCATATTTTGTAGTTTGTACCAATTGTACCACATTGTACCGATTGTGTATAAATAACAATGCATTCTTACATTCTTAATAAGGGTTGTTTTTCCAGGCATTCTGCTAATGGCATTGATTCATTCACAGCTTTGCCATGTCACTATTTCCTCGTTTATTAGCTTACAGGTTTATTTTTTTTAACTATTAATGTTATAAAAGTATTTTGCATCTTTGTGAGCACCACAGACTTTGTGTCAAAATCTATTCTCTGTGGAAGAACAGTAAACAAAATATATTTAAATGGGTTGCTTAAAGTAAATGTTAAAATTGTAAGGTAATAACAAAAGTCTAGATATTTCAATGTGAAAGGTGGTACTTTAATTCTGCTGTCAGAAACCTATTTAGATAGGTTTGTGAGGGAATGTCAAACAGAGGAAAAGAAGATTCTGATTTAAGAAAGAAAATAGTCCTGGTAGACACATTATCCCAATTATTTTGCCTAAATAAATATAAAATTTCTAATCGCACTTCTCTCCTATTCCTATTTCCATTTTTTTTCAGTTCGCAAATGGTTGGATTTATGGTGAAATGTATTCTGAGTCTGCAAAGGTGCAACCTTTAATGAAACAATACAAATTACTATCAGAAAAGGTGAGGATTTTTTTCTTCTTTACTCAGATGTTTCTAAAAGTTTTTCTGTTGTTAGCTTGGAAAAATAGGCAGCTGGCCAAGTGGTCACTGTGTTTCTTGATGTATTAGATGTATTTGATTTACCTATCCTGTAAAAATCCATATTTTTGGTATTAGTCTGTTTGGTTTGAATTTGGCACAGACAAAGCTTCTTGATACACCTGGTAATTAAGGGCCTTGTTGCATGGTAATTTTGAGTGGCTCCTGGAGCTCTTAATCCCTGGATTGACCATATATAACACCTGAAACTGGTTTTAAGCACTCTTTAGGCAGTTCAAAGTGACACCACTCCAGGCAAGGACTGTCTCTGTGCTATCCAGCTTGTGTTACACTAAGGTGCAGCCATGCTAGGCTACATTTTAGTGTAAACACACCATGCACCTCCCTTCCCTGCTGGCCTGAATCAGGTCCACAGACTTCCCCTCCCCCAGCACCCAAGATCCCCACTCACTGCCCCCCAACCACTTGTCTGTCCATGCTGTCTGCCCTAGGGGGGCAAACAAAAGGGTTAAACTGCATGTCTTGCTCCTGCTCCCTGGGCCAGAAGAGCAGCAACCCACCTAGTGGTGACCAGGCAGGCAGGTTAACCCTTCCCTGCCTGTTCTCCTGGGACAGACCCTGCAGGCAGCCACAAGTAAGTAATGCTCCAGGGCCAGGGGGGAGGCAGGAGGCAAGGAAGCACTTCAAGAGGTGTGTGTGTGTATGTGTGTGTGGGAGGGGAATCCTGGGGGCAGGAGGAACTGGGGAAGCCCTGGGGATTAGAGGGAAGCCCAGAATAGGGGAAAGGGGCAGGAGGAAATGGATTCTTACACTTCCATCCTCCAGGCTCCTTCTGTCCTACAGTGTGGCTGCTTCAAACTCAAACTAGCTCTAACATCTATCAACATTTGTGCAGCTCGCAGTGTAAGGTGTAACAAGGCCAAAGTGGGCTTTGTGATAATGGAGTGTGCACAAAGTACTGTCATTATCAGGATCAGACCTATGATACACAGAGTACTGCAGGACCATATTTCCTTTTCATAACTCCCTTAAATGATGCTGAAAGATTCATCTCTCATGTTTCCATATGATTTGGTTTCAGTGAGGGCATCTACACTGAAATTAGTGTGAAGCAATAAATTTTACTGCTCCCAGGTGCAGCATCCTGACAAGCACCTGGGACCGCAGCAATTAAGCACAGCCCCAGATGGCAGAGGACCTGGGGGTATGCCTGCCAGCCTCAGGCTGTTTCCTCCAGCTTAATATGCTGCAGAGGGGCTGGCCGGGGCATGAGGGTGGTGTAGTGCAGGGCTAGCTGGCAGGCAGCCCCCACACTGCAGCACCCATGTTTGCTCCAAAATCAAATCAAGCTGCCACAGCCAACCTCTTCACCTTCTACACGTGCATTGCAGTGGAGTAAAGTCCTCAAGGCTCTGTCCTATGGCCTATACTATTTAACATCATCAACAATGTGGATATTGGGGTCAGGAGTGGACTGGCCAAGTTTGCAGACGACACCAAACTCTGGGGTAAAGCATCCACACCTGAGGGCAGGAGGGTGATCCAGGCAGATCTTGACAGGCTCATGAAATGGGCAGACAAGAACACCGAGAAACCTTGGGAGGAAAAACCTGCAGCATGCTTATAGGCTCGGCAGTGCTACGCTGGTTAGCACTACAGATGAAAGGGACTTGTGGGTCATGATTGACCACAAGATGAACATGACCCTTCAGTGTGATGCTGTAGCTAGTAAAGTGAGCAAAATGATGGCTTGCATCCATAGATGCTTCTCAAGCAAATCCCAGGATGTCATTCTCCTCTTGTACTCAGCCTTGGTGAG